ATAAGAGTGCATTTTTGCTTGATTTTGGGGCTTTGAATTAGAGCAAGCCTCTGCAGAGGTACCAGTACTTTGAAAACTAGAAATCCATTATTTTTTCTCTGATGCTGAGAAAAGGTCACCGGAATTTGGAAGAAAGTGATCTTCAATGGAGCTGAATGGTAGCATCCAAGTCAGAACAGTTGTGGAGTCAGGTGTGAGCAGCAACCTTGGATTCTATGATTGAGGTGAAGGGTTGCTCCTTCCCTCTCCCAACCCTCTCTATATCTTTAGGGAACAGTGTGGGTGCTATTTGGTACCTGACTTGGAGCTGCACAGACATGACACACCTTCTTCACATCAAAACAGCCAGAAATACATTTCTACTACCCAAAGTGTTAATTAAATTTGTAAAAATATCCAGTAAAAGGACGTGAGTTAAAGATGATTTGGGGTGAAAATAGGTGACTTCACTGTAGAGTGGCATCCTTGGCCTCTAAGGGTCTTAGATGTTTTCTCTAGTGTGTGGAATTTCCTTTTAGTAGCAATAGGTATGGCAGACTGGTCTGTTGTTTGGTAGAAGATGGCTATCTTGAAATGTAAGTCTAATGAGAACTGTGGCCACAGTAGCCCTTTGATTACCAGGGCTCCAAATCCAGACCCTCCAGCAAGAAGACTTAACACGTCTATGAAAGGGAGGCTGCTACACTTAGTCAGACTCTTCATTCTTAGCTCTGGGTTCTTTCCTTCAACTCATTTTTCTGCTATAGACTGCAGAATCAGCCTCTCTGGTCATGAAACCACAACACAACATAGCCTCTGGGACACATTAAAGGCAGTCCTATAAGGGAGATTTACAGCTCTAAGTGCCTACACTAAACACTTAGAAAGAGCACAAACAAATGACTTAATAATGCCACTCAAAATTTTAGAAAAACAAGAGCAAGCCAAATCCAAATCCCATAGATGGCAAGGAATAATAAAAATCAGAGATGAAACTAAGAAACAAAGAAAGCAATACAAAGAATCAGTGGGTCTAAGAGCTGGTTCTTTCAGATTAACAAGATTGACAGACCCTTCCCAATGAACCAAAAGAAAGAGCAAGGACCCAAATTAATAAAATCAGAAACAGACAGGGAAACATCACAATAGACATCAAAAAATTCAGATTATAAGGGAATACTGTACTACATTAAGTTAGAAAACCTAAAAGAAATGGACATATTTCATCCAAACAACCCAAATTAAACCAAGAAGAGATCAACAATCTAAATAGACATAACTAAGGAGGAGTTTGAAACAGTAATAAAAAGCCTTCCAACTAAAAGATGACCAGCTCAGATAGATTTGTAGTAGAATTCTACCAGAATTTCAAAGACTATCTACAGTCAACCTTTCTTAAATTGTTTCAAGAAAAGAAAAGAAACATAATGGGCACTCCCAAACTCCTTTCAGGAGGCCAGTATCACTCTAATTCCAAAATTATGTAAAAGTACTACAAAAAAGAAAATTACTGGAAAATATCCCTGACAAACATAGATTCAAATTCCTCAACAAAATACTTGCAAACTGAATAAAGACATACATCAAAAAGATTATCTACCATGAGCAAATTGGCTTTACTACGGGGGTGAGGGGGCAAGGTTTATTCAACATACACAAGTCAACAAATGTTATAAACCACATAAATGGACTTTATGATAAAAATCACATGATCATTTCAATAGATGCAGAAAAAGCCTTTGATAAAAATCTACTGGGCTATGGTATATGTGTATGTGTATGAATACACATGTACATATGGGTTTATGTGCAATTGGAGGACAGAGATTGATGTCTGGTATCTTCCTGTTATTCTCCACTGTACTTTTTGAGACATATTCTCTGTTTGAACCCAGAGTTTGCTGACTGGGCTTGGCAGACTAGCCGGAAAGTTCTAGAGATCAGTGTGTTTATGCAGCACTTGGATTACAGATGGATGCTGCCAAGGCTGACTTCTTGTAAGGATCTGATTTTAAGAGTCAGAGAACAGCATGGACTGGAGACAAACAGTGTTTTCTGGACATGATGGGACCTCTGCTCTCATGTACTCAGAGAAGCAAGGAGATTTTTATGAAACAAAAAAGATAAATGCTTTTTTTAAAGATCAAATTTACACTAAAACTACTATTTCCAAACTGTAGCCATTTATTTCCTGTAATTCACAAGGTAACATATAGCCAAGGTCTTTTAATTTTGTGCTTTTCTGTAATGTAGTGAAATCCCCAAATTATACAATAGTTGGGAAAGGTCGAGGAGGTCCCATATTTTCTGACAGTTTAAAGATTTTTTTCTCATGTCATATATCTTTTGAAATAAAAGCCCCAAACTTCTATATAGTTTAAAAATGTTAAATTCCCCCTTGCAGCATTGCCTGGATATGTGAATTTTATGAAAGCATAGTCTATTCCATCCATCTAATTCATTCAATTTTGTGACAGTGTGTACCCATTAAGTCACTTTTCATTGTTAAACTGATCAGCTCTCAGGAAAAGTGTGACTTTTTTCGACTCAGATGACATGTTCTCATATACCTTATGACATGATGTTTTGCAAGACCTAACTGTAAATGAACTGATTTCCTGGGAGGCTTTGTAAAATTTGTCACCTAAATAAATAATAGAGTACTGGCCCACAGAAGTCTCTTGGAAAAGCCATGTTCCTTTGTTTGGATGTCTCAAGACTGAATACCAGAAAAACGTACACCATGGTTCCCAGATGAGTGAGTTCTTTCCAGCCTCATCAAGTGGGAGAGGAAAAAGAAGAGAATGGATGGAAGGAGGAGGCAGTGGATCTCTTATAATAGTACACATTAGTTGCTTTCCTCATTTCTGTGACACAAGTGTTTGAAGATGGAAGAGTGTGTTTTGACTCACATTTAGAGGTTATAGTCTATCATTACAAATTAAACTATGGTGGCCAAACCTTGAGGCAGCTGGTCATAATGCATCTGTGACCAGTAAGTAGAGAGAGAGAAAGAGAGAGATGAATGATGGTGTTCAACTAGCTTCTTCCATTTATATAGTCTAGGACCAGCCCATGGATGTGTACTGCTCATACATAGGGAGGGGATTCCTATCTCAGTTATTCCAGTCTTGGCACTTCCTCACAGACGTGCCTTCACAGACATGTCTCCTAGGTGATTCTAGATCCTGTCAAGTTGACAACCAACATTAACCATTACAGAATATAAAGAAGGTGAGGCCTATGCGTCCTTCCTTATAACTCCATCCCCTTTTAATTCTCAAAATATTGAGATATCCTTGGAACAGCGTCATTCACTAGGTACTCTGGTCATGGCTTGCTTGCTGGGTACCAAGGGCAGTCATTCACGGAGAACCTTGGTCTTGGCTCTGATGAGTACCTGGGGCACAGAGTCATTAATTGGACATAGTTGGCTCACTGTGTAGCTCCAGCAAAGAAATCAAATTGAGTATCTGTGTACAAGCATGTTCACTCTGTACCCCAAGCACAGCATATTTGCTGAAGGGCAATTGTAACAGGGGAGAAACAGTAGGAATATTCTGAATTAGACTTAGAGTAGGATGTTTATCATGTGAATAGTTCTTTGTGATGGATGTTTCTCTTCCTAGTAAGTGTGTCAGCACTTCTGTAGAGCCCTGTTATGAACTTGCTGGTGTAATTACAGCTTGACCAAGTATCTTGGAGATTATGAGCTACTCAACCAGCCTCATGGCATACCCCAAGGCTGACACTGAGATGAATGGCCACCTAGTTAGAGCACGACCACATTGAGACTCAAGTCTCTTTCCATGAGCCCTTTCATGTTTATCTAATCATACTGAGAGTACTCAAGCCCCAGCAAAATTTATTTTCAACTTAAAAAGCTACTTCATTACATGCATGACTTTGTGCCTGAATGTCATTCACAGAGAAAGAGAACACAGTGGAATGTGTCTTCATGATATAGGACATTTTTTCCCTCACAAGTTTCAGGTATTAAGTTGTGAGAAGGTTAAATAGTTTCTCACCTCATATATACCTAGTTGTATTTCCTCATCATGGCTTCTCAAGCCACAGTAATACACATTTTTGGAAAGATGCTTTCACGAACATTCCTAGCAATGGACTTGGTAGAGGAGTCTGATTCCTTACATTTACCACGAGTTTGTAGACTACTTTGACATATAAAGGTACCTGTTGGCTTTGTCAGCCATGACACTTTTATCATTTCCACATATGTATAATGTATGCAACAATCTTGATGTCCCAAATGCTTATATACTTTTGAATCCTATCACTCTCTGTTATATTGTATAGTCCGATATGCTTAAGTGGTCAGATTGATTTTCATTATTGGTACTTCATTTCAAGGCATATTTTAGAAAATAACACTAAAAATATGATTTTGTGATCAATCAAAGGTGTCTGTGTGAGACTGGCTGAGCAGTTAAGAACTCTTGCTATTCTTGCAAGGACACAGGTTCAGTTTCTAGTACCCGTATGGAGGTTCACAAACAGCTGTAACACTAGTCCCAGAAGATGATGCCCTCTTCTGGATTCCATGGGCAATGCATGCACATGATGTTTACACATTTCCAGCCTGGCTTTCAAATATTAACAGATCTTTAGTCATAGATGAAGAAATCATAATTATTTTTTTAGACTTACTCTTTTGCTATGTTTCCTTCAGATTATTTTTTTTAGATACCACAAAAGATGTAGATGGTCAAGAATAATGGAAATTTCTTTTCACCCTTTTTTGGTAAACACTTCTAGGTATAGTTTATTTAAATATATTAAATGATAAACATGGCATATTATGATAATAAAATGCTACTTTTTCTAGACAAACATTACTCATGTTTTTAACATTATCTGTAAGCATGAAGATGTGTAATCCTGCAATTGAGCAGAAAGTAAAAATTACTGTCCAGAAAATAAATTCATTGAGAAAAAGTTCTGTTTTCTTCTTAATGTAATCCTACTTAGATTAAAGTATGCCTCAAGGTTATTGGTATTACCTTAAGATTTTTGTGACTGCCGTCTCCTTTTCCAGAAGGTTCCTCGCCCTGATGCTGAAAACAGACTTGCGGAGCTGAAAAGTGTAAGAACCACTTTAGTTTGGGGATGGAAAAGAATAATATATTCACAACCCATGAAACACCAGTTCTCTTTCTCCGTTTGACCTTTATGTCACATGTGATATTTCTCATACTACCTCTTCTTCCCATCTTATGATCCCCCACGTACATGTACCATTTTACACCTAGGCTGCACATATAACAAAACTGGCATTTGTTTTCTGAGTCTGGCTTATTTCACGTAACATAATGATTAAGGCCCTTTCCTGGTGTTACGTTTTATCTGTTCAGAGATTCTAACTAACTGTGAGGCTGCATGTCACAGGTATGGTATGGTGTACATCTTTTCCTGTCCCTGAAGATAAAACACCTCAGGTTCAGATTACTATCGGATCACAGGCCAGGAACTTGCAGTAGTATACAGTGGCTTGCTGACGTGTACATTGCTGACCATGACCCTGCCAATCATCTGAATAAGTAAGTGCTCCAGTCTCTAAAGAATTTGATGTTGAAATTAACACTGGGAACCTGTATTCATTATTGTTTAGTTAAATGTTTTCCAAGCCACTGTATACTACTGCAAGTTCCTGGCCTGTGATCCGATAGTAATCTGAACCTGAGGTGTTTTATCTTCAGGGACAGGAAAAGATGACAGGAAGGAAAGGTCAAAGTTTGCCTGTGGGTGATGATGATAAAAATCATCCCAGAGAAAAGGATTAAGAAAAACAACCTGGATGGCATTGATTGCCTGTTAGATTAGTGAACCACTTTATAGGTGACTAAGTGGTCCAAAGAAGGAGTGAGAGGAGGGAGAGAGATGGAGAGAGCAAGAGAGAAGGGAGTATGTACCATCCGAGCTAGATTCCCAAGAACTAAGAGTGGGACACTTTTAGTTGTCAGCATTGGGAGCCAATGATGGGAGAGTGAGCCGCTGTCTGCCACCAGTAGATTATCTTTTCTAACCACTTGGCACAATATTGGTAACCACTGATAACAAAGAATAGATAGGAGCCAGGTTCTTGAATTCTGGAACTGAGTAGTTCAGTAAGGCAGGCCAGGCTAGGACACAAGAATTCCCACTTACAAACCAGTCTACAAACAAGCACTGTAATGTGAACCAAGATATCTAAATGGCCAGGCCTGGGAAAGGACAAAGTCATAAACTCATCGTTTCTTGTGTGTGTGTTCATGTGGAGGTCATAGGTCAATATCTATATAATGTCTTCTTCTATCACTATTCACCTTGGGTGAACCTGGAACCTAGTGATTGGCTAGAGTGATGGCCAATGAGACCCAGGGATCTTCCTATTTCTGTTTCCCAGCACTGGGCTTATAGATCCTTACTGTCACAGCCAGCTTTTTTGTGTGGGTAATAAGGATCTGAATTCAGGTTCCCAAGCTTTCATTGTGAGCACTTTACAATCTCTTTGAGCTTTTAGCATATCTCAAGGGAGCACTGCTCAGGAGTCATAGCTCAAGTTCCTATCAGGAGAGGGCTTCTGCTCTGACTACTAGAAACATACAGTCAGGAGTCAGAAGTCAGGCCCAGAGTACAGGAGGGCCAACAGTGGCTCACTGTGAGCCAGGACAGCAAATACTACAATGCTCAAAATCAACAACATGCCTTAATCGTCCTTTGCACAAGGCAGCAAATGGAATTTAGTCATGTGTCAACTGCCCTGGGATGGGGCAGCTATCAAACACACATTCTGCATATTTGGAGTGCTATCTAGTACAATAAACTTGAATCAATTAAAGCAAATGCAGTGTTCAAGGTTGTCTTTGAGAATGGTATTGCAATTCACAGAGGAAGTAGTATGTTTTCTACTGTAATACAAAACCTTCAGATTAAGTTTTACTGTGCTCTGAAAGATGTGTATTTGATATGCTAGATATCTTTCTCTATATATTTAAGCTATTTTTTTCATAGCTAAAAAAAAAGGTCTGTAGATATCAATCATTCTTTCTTTGGTCCTTGGCTGTGGTAGTAAAACTTTTTTTCGTTTAGTACAGATCTTCTTTGATTATGTTCCTCACAAAGAACTCAGACTACACTGCTCTGCAGTGCCCTCTTCTGGCCTCAAAAGATACTGCTAGTCACCTGAAATAAGCACTACACAGAGCCATTTCAAAATACGTAATTTCAGACCATAAGTTAGAAGTTCCAGCAATGAAAGGAGTCAGTAAAAGCTCATACTGAATCTAAGTGAATCAAATATGTAGAAAATAAGAGAAAGGGAAAGGACCCATTAGATAATGCTTTCACTGGAAACAAATAATCATTTGTTTGTAAAATAATCATTTGTTGAAAAGATTTTGATGTTTTACAGTTTTATTTGCAAACCTAATGCATTCAATTCATCAAATGGCAATTCCTTGACTGAATTAATGAACAAAAACAAATACACTAAATTTCCATTTAAGTGTTAAAGTAAAACGTGGATTTTTTAAATAGCATCTTAAATTTTTGATTTCAAAGATATGTCTACCTTTTGAGACAGGTAGAACTCTTGTAGCTTGTGTGAGATCTTAGGTTCAGCCCCAGTAACACACACACACACACACACACACACACACACACACACACACACACACACGGACTGATATTCCCTAAACTGTATACTTTAGCACAGAACTCAAAAGTCATGAATTTCATCTCAATTTCTTCACAGTTACTACAGTTTGCATTGGAACAACACAGCAATGGATGGGTGGCTCTTGCTTATTTTTAAAAAGGTCTTTTAGTCCAAGAATGGTGGCATTTCTCCTGCAGTTTCTGGTAGTATGAGCTCTGCTGAGGGCAAAGGGCAGGATGGTTCACAGGGTCTTCTGCCTTCTCTGTTTCCTGTGAATCAGTGGTTGATCCACACGTCTCAACAGTTATGCTCCGGTTTGATCTCTCTGGCAGGGCCACCTTTGGTGTCATGCTGTGTCACCAGAAAACACATACTGCCCTGTGTCTTTTTATGATATCAATAGCATTATTATGTTCATTGTATAGACTCATTCATCCCACTTGCAAAATTGTTATTTCTTTGCATTTCATTAAAATGATTCTTTAATAGGAAGTTGTTCCTCCTGTATTAGTTTCTATCTACCAGTATAGTCCACAGGGAAAACATTCAAGGTAAGTTCATGATTCTTGATATTTTCATACCAGTTTTTAAATAGATTAGTATATTATATATCAATATTTAATAGATTTTTATATAATCTTTAAAAGTGACTAATTATTTAAAGTATCACTATAAATTCAAGGTTAAGACATTCGATAGATTTTAGTCCATTATAATTGATATTTTTAATGTTGTTAACTATTCCTTGATAATTTAACACAATATATTTTGACCATATACTTTCCCCTCCTCAAACTCCTTCCAGATTCCCCCTCTTCCTCCATACCCACCCAGCTCTAAGTGCTTTTTCTCATCATAGGTTGACTGGTCAACTGCCTATTGGTCCATCAGTTCTTTTGCCATGATGCTAGCAGCTGTTGGCATAGTTTCCTCTCTGTCAGGAATGACAAGATGCTCCACAATTATGTGTGCTTCCTATTTAAAACCAACAATACTCTCTTCAAGAAGCCTGATGCATTTATTGAGAAAAAAATTTTGGGGCACATAATCTAGATTTCAGCATTGTTCATTCCTACCAAGACGGTCACTATTCTGAGACTTGACCTGCGCTGACTCTGACAGTTTCAATTTAGATTCAGTGAATTTTACTTACTTTTTCTATATTACATCTATATTTATTTTCTCTTGACTTCAAGACTTGATATCCCATACAAGGAATGACAGATTTGACTGTCTCATAATTACTCACTAATTTTATTTCACAGTTCACAGATAATCTTAGAACAATGATAGACCCACAGCCCCACAGCCAGGATGACTAGCAGACATTGAAAGAGCTCTGCCTGCACTCTTCTTCCTGTTGTCCAATGTCATCAAAGCACAGGGCTGTGGTGTAATACTTCTTTAGTTCCACCCTCACATTGTCTCAGCTCCTCTGTTTCAGTGCCTCCCACTGCCACTTGGTGCTTCCTTTAGTGTCTGAGTCACTTTTGCAGGTGACGTGTCTGTCAGAGGTATGGCTTTCAGGAGTTTCTTTGGGAAGAGCACATGGGAACACTATTACATAGTGCTTTGTGTGTACAATGACATCTTTACAACAGCTTTTCTATCTCTTTAATCAAGAAGTTCAGTTTTCCTGGGTGTAAAAGGAAGCCTGTCTTTCACAGTCTTTCCTGTGTGTTGCTCTAGTTTCTTTTGATCTAAAGGATTATTGCTGAAACATCTGATGATGATCTGATGTTCATTAATTTAAAAGTCACTTGCTGCTTGCGGACACAAATACAAAAACACTTAAAGTTTAAAGTCTTATGACATATGTGGTATAGATTTTGTTTCTGGTCCTTCTTAGGCATTATTTCCAGAGACATGACATATGTTTCCCATATTTGTTTCAGATGTTCTGTTTGTCACTTGCTCTAGTATCTTGCTGTGGTATTCTCCACTAGAAATGCATAGAACAATAGTGTGGACCTTATTTTTATTTCTTTTTTAAGTTTTCCCAGGGGCTGGGGAGATGGCTCAGTGCTATGGATATTGCTCTGTATAAATAAAACACTGATTGGCCAGTAGCCAGACAAGAAGTATAGGCGGGACTAACATAGAGGAAAACTGAGGGAACAGGAAGGCAGAGGGAGACACTGCCTAGAGCCGCCACCAGGACAAGGAAGATGTAAGGTACTAGTAAGCCACGAGTCACGTGGCAAAATATAGATTAATAGAAATGGGCTGAATATAAGAATAAGAGCTAGACAATAATAGGCCTGAGCTAATGTCCAAACAGTTTAAATAATATAAGAGTCGGTGTGTTTATTTTATAAGTGGGCTGTGGGACTGCCAGGGCTTGGTGGAACCCAGAGAGAAAACTCTCCAGCTACAGCTCAGCACATAAACTGCTTGCTATGTAGGCATGAAGGCAGACACCCACATAAAAGCCAGGT